ATCATTATACAGATTTTTTGATAATTAATAATTTAAAAATATACCACTATACAACAATAAGTTAAAAATTGAAACTTTTTATCAAGGTAAAACATACATTCAAATTTTATGCTGAAAATTATTAATTTTGTAAATAACTTAAGAAGTTAGTTGAAATGGTGCAGCTAAACATTTTAATTCACAAATATTTTTATATGTACCCAGAAATGTTATTTCTATAAACATAGTAAATACTGTCTTAATGGTATACATTCATAAAAAACCAAAAATGAAACAGAAAAAAAAATGTCAATTGTTATACTGATGTATTAAATTCTCATATTCCTACCAGAAAACTCATATTGTAATAGATATATTACTAAAAAGTAATATAAAAAGACTAGGATTCATTTGTATTGTTCACTGCTGGTAAATTTTGATCATGATCAGTATCCATAGGTTCAGCATCATTAGATGTAGATAATTGAGGGTCATGTAAATTTCTAGCAGCAACAGAAGAATATGTAGACATGCCTGAAGTGGCTGGAATTTGGGTGGATGAAGAAGTGGACACAATGGGTAAAGGTAAACTTATACCAAGTTGTGATGGCCAATCTGATGATGTTGATGCCATGTCATATTCATTCATTCCCCAAACTGGATCACTATTACGTTGGCCTCTAGCTCTAAAATTAATAGACAATTAATGCACAACTTAAAATATAGTAATTTTTATATGTTTAATAATAATAATAACAAACTGATAATATTTATATGTGAACAACCGGAATAAATAAGAACACAAAACACAGTTTTTCTTCTTTTATAATATTATAGTAAAGAAATTATAATATTATTATACATATACAATATTAGGGGCGTGGTGATCACACTAGTTGTTGACAACACTCTAATGTTAAGCTGTGCCTACCGCCATAGGTGAACGGATGGGTGATCCTGCGTGCGCTTCTATGATGATGAAAAAGCACTATATTCTCAGTGTAGAAGGCAATGGGAAACCACTGCACTTAATTTCCCTAGGATATTAGCTATGATAAGGCTTAGCCTTTAGAAAAGAAGAAGATACAATATTACTCAAATTATATATAAACATAATATTTATAAAACATATATAATATAAATAAAACACTAAAACATAATTAAACGACACAAAAACACATCTTTGCTGAATTCAGTTATGGGTCATTCATGAAAAAATGTATCTTTTTGAATAGGTTGTGAATAATAGGAGTTAATCGGATCACAAAATAAAAATAAATTGTTTAATTATTCATTTAATTTTGTGCAATACATTGTACACAATGATATATAATCCATTAATTTATTGTACATATCGGTTAGAACTGATATCTATAAACCATAACTATAGATAGATCTAACGATCTATCTATAATCATTGAAATAATAAATATATAATAATTCCAAATATCACTATTTTTTTTTTTAAGCCATCTATTACTTTGAAATAACATAACATATTTAATATATATTACATTTTATAATAATATATATTATTATATAGAATATAATATGTATTTTTAACTTTTAAGTCAAACTTTTCTTAAAAATATAAAAATGAAAACAAAAGATACTCTAAATGTATTCTTCAAAAATATAATATTTTTTTTAAGAAAACTCTTTGGGGGTGATATCATGATTTAAAATAACCATTAAAAAAGTGCATAAGATTACCAACTTGTCTCTTTAAATTAAAATAAAGTTTTTTTTCAATTTAAGACTACTGCAAAAATTGATAATTTAGTTGTTGTTGAGAGATGTTAAACCCNTCTTTAAATTAAAATAAAGTTTTTTTTCAATTTAAGACTACTGCAAAAATTGATAATTTAGTTGTTGTTGAGAGATGTTAAACCCTCATAGCTCTTTAAAGCTTTTGTAAAATATAATATTCATAATTTAATTTCTCAATAATACTTCTTTTATGATAAAATTCTATTCATAATACAAGAAAATTGTATGAATTTATTATCTTATTTGGTAAAGCAATTCATCTGTCAATATAAATTTATTATTTCTGACTTACAAGTTAATGTTCCTCACATAATTTGTATTTGAGAAAATGTCATATAATCAGTTTATGCCGAGTAGTATTATTAATTATAAATCAGTTATTATAGTTTGTATTACAACAAAATTAAGTTTTAAATATTTTTGCGACAGAAACACTTTAAATAGTTTGAAAATAATGAGATTTTAATTTGACAAGACATTTTCTTCTAGATCTGTAACCGTTTATTGATCAATGATTTCTGACAAGCTCCCAAATTATGTGAGAACAACAGGCAACAATAAGAACAAAAAATAGTTTTTCTCTTTTTAAATATTATAAAAATAAAATTATAATATTATTACACATATAAAATATTATTAAAATTGTATATAAGCTATATAACATTTATAAAAACATAGAAATTAAATAAACGACACAAAAACATATCTTAACCGACTTATGATTCATACAACACTGTTGATGGTAGATGATACCATCGCCACATATTTCATCTTTGACCGTCTTCACATCAACAGTATATATAAATACTTAAGACTTAGTAGAAAATATATTTAGTATTTAATGCTGAATATCATACTAACCTAATAAGTGCTGCTAAGTTTGGACCAACACCCAGGCTGATTCCATTTAGTGGGTCAGAATTAATTGAACCTAATCCATCATCAGCTAAATACTTACGACAAATCGGGCACGTTCCATGCTAAATTATAACATATAAAAATAATTATATACAAGAAAAACCAAAAATAAACTTTGTTATAGCCTGAAAGTTAAGTTATTGTAAGACCTTCAAAATGAAATAAAATTTATTGTTAGTTAATTTCTATACTTAATAATCTATTTCTATAGTGACGTATTTTCTTAATAAATAAAATTAATTTNTTATAAATAATATATTTTTCTTTTTTTTTATTAAATCATAATTATAATTTAAAAAAATTAATTTAAGTTTAAAATTTAAAAAAATTCTTTAAATATATAATTTATATTGCTTCATTTTTTAGTTGTGCCCTTAAAAACCTACCTCCTGAGGTATTCTCACCCAATGCTTCCATTAAATGTGGCCCCATATAAGGGTTATTATCAGAATACAATTTTTTATTATAATAATAATTATTATAAAAAATGATTATTAGATTAAAAATAATAAGCTAATTAAAAAAAATTACAATATTTTCTTAGTAAGGTATATCCACATATCTATTTTTTTATTAAAGGAATTAAGATAAACATTACCTAGGTGATCTTGAGAAATTTGAGCTGTTGGTATGTCTTGGATTTTTTCTTTAGTTAATGGTGGTGGTCCTGCTCCATCAATTTGATTTAATAATTGTGATACAATTGAATCTAATCCATCTCTTCCCCATACATAGTCTCCAGGATTACCAAGTAAAAATCTACTGCTGGAGTCATAGATTAGCACATTTTTACTCAAATATACTATGATAAATAATAATACTCTACTTACACTGGACCAGTAGCTCCACGGGAATTGGCGTAATCAGCAAAATTGACTATTACATCTTCAACTAAATTTTCAATAGTACCACTTCCTGAGCTTCGCCTAGGGCCTCTATAATAAAATATCAAATGTTTCATTATAATTGGATTATTAGATCAGACTAGAGACATTTTTAGATGTCAGTGGGTACTTAAGTTAAATGGTGCCAGTATAAGACAACAAGACTTTGTCTTCACATATCCTAATTACAAATTAATATAACATTGATTAAAAAGTAACACTACCTATCTCATTTTTGTCAATTTTACAGGGAAACAAAAAACAGTTTTCTATTAAATTGATAGTACCTAGGATGCTATCTATTGATTTTATCAAAAATCTGAGTCTATCATTTGATTCTCTATGAAAATTTACTTATAACATGTGGAAAGCATAGTGTTCAAACTCATTTTGATCAAAATGTGAGATGGGTGGTGTTGCTTCTTAAGCAACAATAAGTCAAATAATTTTCATACAATTATTCTAGCACTAGTAAATCAAGAAATCAAAATTTAAGGATTGTTTATTGGAGATTATTTTGCAATTACAACTACATTATTTAAGAATATCAATAGATAAAATAGAAAGAGCAACTTCGCATTTAGAGTAAATAAATAATTAGTAACTTTTACTTTCTAATACAATTGTGCCTCTTTCTTACAACTATTATTCTGAGATATTTAAATTATAAAATATTTTTATTAGATTGCATACTCACTAATTAAGGAGAATCATTAATATATAGATCTATAGTTTTAAGAAAGCTTGTTTTTACATACTAAAAATTCAATGTTTATATTAGTGATGGGAAATATCGAATAGAAACTATCGAACTATTCGATAGTCATTCAAAAAATATTCGATAGTTACACAATATATTCGAATAGTTTATGCTAAAAATAAACTATTCGGTTGTACAAAAACTATTCGAAAATGCCCATCACTAGTTTATATTACATCTCTATATCTTTAATGGGAAAACACATAATATTTAGACAAATAATACCAAGTATTACAAGCACCTTAATAGTAAACACTAAATACTGAAACTTAATTACAAACCTTCCAGGTTGTAAAGTCATTACATGAGGTCCCCTAGTTGTAAATCTACGGCGACGAATATTTGAACTACGACGTCCACTTAATTCACCATCACTTAACATACCATTTACCTAACAATAAAAAGTATTACATTTAGTACATTAAATATTATATATATATATATATATTTAATAATGAAACTACTGTTCCATTAACATTTTAAATGTGTTTGATATTGCAAAAAATATACAGAATCATTGATTAACCATGCCTAAGCAATATTATCATTATTATTATTTTATTAAATTTACAACTCCGCTGCTGTTGTCATTAGTTGCATTTAGAATTAAAAACTATACATATATATATATATAAATACATATATACATTGTTTTTATACTATTTTATGTAAGGAAATGACTGATTGATAACAATTTTTGAATTAATATTTTAAAAGATAATAAACCATTTATACTAGGGCAGGAATAAAGCACAATCATCTGTTTTTATCTTTGGGTA